TTATATCAAGAGTATCCGAAAAATTCTGAAGTAACTTTGAAGTAGATAGTTCTCGCAATGAACATTAACAAATTCTTTGGAACTTTTGCAGATGATTTTATCAACATAGTACTAAAGAACTACAAACTTTCAGATCTATAACTTTTCATATGAATGCAAACCTCTGATAACAGTGTCATGTACTATTTCTTTCAATTTTTCTAATCATCTTGTTTATTACTTTCAAAACAATACAACTGTTCGAAATGAAGAGTTTATCCGCTATTCATTGAAGTAAAAAATACTAAACTTCTTTCATTTCTGTTTAAAAATGTTTCTTACTTTATAATCTTCCTTTGTTTGTCAACTGATGATTATTACCCATCGAGTGAAGAAGAAAGGAAAATTGTAAAGTGAGAAATATTTTTAAAAAGGAATGAAAGCAGTTTACTATTTTTTATTTCAATGAATAATGGATAAACTATTTATTTTGAACACTTGTATTGTTTTTTTGAAAATAACAACCAAGATGATTCAGAAAAGCTGGTTACTGTAGCTCTAGAGGAGCTGAAATGTGGAGCTCACGCATATCGTTCAGCCGTATTATCCTAACATGTTATCTGTAAACTGAAAAATTTCTGTCGACTTAAGCCGTTTTCATAACTCATCGATGACCAGAACAATAATTTATCATTTATTTCTGCATTAAAAACTGTAATTATCTTTTTCTTTAGAGCGCGTCCAATTTTTTTATTATTGTTGCTATATACTCGATAATAATCAATTTTTTTTGTTTATTTTTTATTTGAAATTATTTTTCGCCATCGATTAGTTCATAAATACCAGTGTTACAATAATGCACTTAATACGCATCAGCTATTCTTACGACTAGACTTCTGCAAAATGGTCACGGTCACGGTCACGGTCACGGCCTCTCGTGACTAGTTTTCGAAAAATTATCGTGACTGGGATCGTGACCGTGACCAAATAGCTCATGATCGTGACCGAATAGCTCGCGATCGTGACTTATTGGTGATAAATTTTAATATTAAAAATCTGATTTTTCTAAAAAAAAACAAGATTTTAATTGATTTACGAGTTTTCTTTGTTTTATTACAGAAGAAATCTACGAAATCAATTTAAATCTTTATTTTGTAGCACAAAAATCAAGATAGTAATCCGAAATCCCCGTGACCGTGACGTGACGTGACTGAAAAATCGTGGTCACGCAGAAGTCTACTTACGACACTACTATATATCTCAATTAATTCATAAATAACGGAATTGTTTATATTGTGACACTAATAAAAACATTGAATCATGTTTCTTGTATTGATTATACCATCGGTACGACAGATTACTATCTATTATCGCTGTTTATACTTGATTTTTCCCCTACAAGTTTAAAATCTTAAAAATGTCAATCATTACACTATTAAGAATTTTCTTAAACGTATATTATAGTTTTTTTCAAATAATCATGAAAACATTGAAGTATTGTATAGCAGTCAAACTCATATTCTTGATACTGTGCAACTCGTTTCCTATTGTTAAATAAAGCTGAAGTTTTTTTCCGTGTGGTTAGTGGAGTCTGTAATGAAGAGAGAGGGGGAGGTAGAGCCACAAAACCTCGAACTTAAAACTTACACTCACTATTTTCTTCGAAAATATACGTGAGTTCCACAAAATTAAAAGAAATAGTATATGACAATGTCGTTATAGGTTTTCATCCATATGAAAGGCTATAGATCTAAAATTTTGTAGTTCTTTAGAACCACGTAGATACAATCATCTTCGAAAATTTCAAAGAAATTGGTGAGTTTTGAATACGAAAATGATGCATTTGAAAGTTCCATCAGAATTTTCGGAACATCCTTTCTATATTGTTATGTTTAGCGAATAAAAAATTCTTATTATTGAAAAAAAACGGAAGAAAGACATTATTCATTACCTTGAAGAAAGGAAATCGACACTGCTGTATATATACTATGTCATCATCATCAATAGCACAATTAATTCTTCATGTTTCTCAACAATATACAATTTATGTTAGTTTTATTATTTTATTTACTGGTATTTTCGGACATATAATTAACATCTTTGTATTTACTCGTCTTACAATATTTCGAAAAAATTCATCTGCTTTTTATCTTATTGCCGAATCAATTTTTGATTTACTTGAACTGATGATTGTATATACATCTAATATTCCAATTAATGGATTTGGTAATGATCTAACACAGACATCATTAATTTGGTGTAAATTAAAGCCATTCTTTACACAATCTTTAACTGTCATTCCACTTAATATTGTTTGTTTTGCTGCTATTGATCAATATTTATCAACAAATCATTATCCATATTTAAGACAAAAAAGTACAATAAAATCAGCTAAAATTCTTACTATTATTGCAACTATATTTTGGATTTTACATAGTACATTAGCGTTGGTTTTTATTGAAATTCAATCAAAATATGGATGTAGTATATATAATCGAAATTTTAGAAATTATGTTACATATTTCTATTTTCTTATACTAATTGGAATTTTACCGGTCATCGTTTCCACATTTTTCAGTATTGTAGCTTATCAAAATGTTCGTCGTATTGTACGACGTCAAATGCCAATACGTCGACGAAGACTTGATCAACAATTGACAGCAATGATTCTTGTTCGAGTTGGATTTTTAGTTGTTTTACTATTACCGTATCTTTTACAACGAACTTATACATTTAGTACATTAACATATAATGATAGTGTCATTTCCCAAGCCATTTTACAACTTTTTACAGCTATAACTGTTTCTTTTTTTAATCTTAACTATGGAGTATGTGAAATTTTTAAAGATTTATTTTATTTATATTGATTATTTTAGGGTTCTTTCTATTTATTTTTAATAACATCAACACGATTTCGACGACAAGTTAAATATGTTTTTATAAATAAATGTTGGCAAATATATTGTAGAAAAAGAATATTTCAAAATCAAGTTGTACCATTAGTACAATCTACTACTAGTGAATATGATTTACAACAAATTCAATAATATATACAACAGATCATAATAGAATTATAATTAATTCAATGCTATTAATTATATATACAACATCAAAACATTTCAATGACTTGTATTGGATGTTTTTATTACAAAAAACATATTTTTATATTTCTCTGTACCTAGATCAATAATTTATGCGATAGGAGAGTATAAGTACAATGCATGCATTCTTAAAACTGTACGAGAGTGTAAAAAATTTTCTCCGAGATAATATCTGTTTAACATTGCAAATAATTTTTAAGTACTTGCTCTCGTAATTTTCTGTATGTAAAATATCTTTCGATTGATATTTTATCTAAAACAATAAATAAGAATATTCTAAATGCATACATAAAAATTCTTAAAAGAACACTATGTCTCGCAAATAATTTTCTAATAATGAAACATTACCAGATGCTAGAACACTTTTCAGTCGAGGTTACACACATCTCGTAGCCCTTAGTGAGCTGTGTCTATGGTAAAAAAAAGTTTGGATTTCTGGAGAGATACCAAGTTTTCAGTGATTTTTTCTATCGCATTCTACTTTTGCAGCAAATCTATGTTTTCGCATTTTTATTTAAAAATTTGCCCACATAAATGCCTCATCTAAACTAGTTTGTATGTAAAGTTTCAGAAGTTTTGAACAGAGTTTCTCCCAGATATGGAACTATCAAGGTATATATTCTTTTTCATAGATATTGTATATAACGTACATGCTTTCAAATATTCATATCTCGGAGGAACTTTGTCTAAAACTTCTGAAATTCTTTGTACAAACTATTCTAGCTGAGGTTTTTATGTGAGCAAAGTTTTAGATTGAGAATGTGGCATCCACATCCTCCCACCCTAAAAACTTCCCCGAAAGACTGCATGAATGCTGTTATTTTTGTACAATGTAGGTGTGAAAGACAAGAAGATACACACGCACATGCACACTCACCCACACCTAACCAAAAAAATCCAAAAAGAAACACTAATATAGCATTCTATTAAATGTCAGTAGTAAATTTTGAAATTTTCAGTAATATTGCATCATCAATAGTGACATGTAATTTGATTGAAAGAAAGAAATATTTCTGATAGTGTTTTTTTTACTAAGTCTATGTTTCATGAGTCTTCTCATTTTATTCGTCTCTCATCGAGCGATTCATTTCTTCCCAAACACACAACGACAATCATTATTCGGTGGGTGACCAAAATTCATACA